TGTTCAGGTTTGAGAAGTTTCTGTGGTTCGTCAGCTCCGAGAACTACCTGATCATCGCAGGACGAGACCAGCAGCAGAACGAGATGATCGTCAAGCGCTACCTGAGAGCAGGTCAGGCCGAAGCTTCCTCCGCTCCCATGATGCTCTCCCGAGGGTTCCTCTGTTTCTCTGAATCCTGTGCTGCCATGTGTTTCCTCAGGGGACGTTTACGTTCACGCCGATCTGCACGGAGCCACGAGCTGCGTGATCAAGAACCCGTCTGGTGAGGAATTCTCACTAAACTCAACTTTCTAAAGGTGAACATCGATCTGATGTTTGTCAGATTCAGATGATGAGACATTTTAATTCATAGAAATCACTGAAGTGATTCTGATCAGGTGACTGACTCGTTACATTGACGCATTTGGCAGATGTTTCAGTCCTGATGTGCTGTTTGTGCTGCTCGTGTGTGAAACTCTTTCATCCAAACACTTCTGTTTCTCAGGCGAGGCTGTTCCTCCGCGGACGCTCACCGAGGCCGGGACGATGGCCGTGTGCTACAGCGCAGCGTGGGACGCTAAAGTGGTCACCAGCGCGTGGTGGGTTCACCATCATCAGGTGAGCGGCGGCACACACAGAAGCAGGTGTCGATGAGTTCAGACGCTCATGTGCTTCATCTCACACAGGTGTCCAAAACCGCGCCGACGGGAGAGTATCTGACCACCGGCAGCTTCATGATCAGAGGTGAATATTACTGTGCATTACATGGATATATATATATATATTATATTAAAATGAAGAGGTCTTACCTGTGTCTGGATCCCACTTCCAACACTAAAGTTGCTTCATATCTTGTTCAAAAGTTTGCAATATGAAACGATTCATGTTTTGTATCACTTCTCCACAGGGAAGAAAAACTTTTTGCCCCCTTCATATCTGATCATGGGCTTTGGGTTTCTGTTTAAGGTAAAGACGTCGCCGACACGAAACAATGACAACATAATCACATCATATGACGCATTAATGCTAAGATAGCGTGGCTTGGTGGTTAACTCTTTCACCGCCAGCATTTTTGATCATTTTCACACAAATTTCATGGTGCTCAGATTATTTTGTTGTATGAATATCTGAACATGCAATATGTCAAAAGAAA